ACAGCTGTCCTTGAAAAAGAGCAGTTTGTGTCAGAGCTCTCTCAGCCCCACCCACCTCACAGGGTGTCTGTTGTGGGGAGGGGAAGGGAAAGGAGTTTGTAAGCCGCTCTGAGACCCCTTTGGGTAGTGAAGGGCGGGGTATAAATCCAATCTCTTCTTCTTCTTCTTTTACCTCACAGGGTGTCTGTTGTGGGGAGGGGAAGGGAAAGGAGTTTGTAAGCCGCTCTGAGACTCCTTTGGGTAGTGAAGGGCGGGGTATAAATCCAATCTCTTCTTCGTGCTAGCCTAGACTATCCAAGTCAGGGTTTATGAACAATGTAGTCCAGCCATCTTGTGGAGACACTGTAGGGTTTTCAAGGCAAGGGTTGAACAGGAGGTGGCTTGCCATTGCCTGCCTCTGCATAGCAACCCTGGAGTTTGGTGTAGTGGTTAAGTGCGCGGACTCTAATCTGGGAGAACCGGGTTTGATTCCCCACTCCTCCACTTGCACCTGCTGATGTGACCTTGGGTCAGCCACAAGCTCTGGCACAGCTGTCCTTGAAAAAGAGCAGTTTGTGTCAGAGCTCTCTCAGCCCCACCCACCTCACAGGGTGTCTGTTGTGGGGAGGGGAAGGGAAAGGAGATTGTAAGCCGCTCTGAGACACCTTTGGGTAGTGAAGGGCGGGGTATAAATCCAATCTCTTCTTCTTCTTCTTCTTTCACCTCACAGGGTGTCTGTTGTGGGGAGGGGAAGGGAAAGGAATTTGTAAGCCGCTCTGAGACCCCTTTGGGTAGTGAAGGGCGGGGTATAAATCCAATGTCTTCTTCTTCTTCTTCTTTCACCTCACAGGGTGTCTGTTGTGGGGTGGGGAAGGGAAAGGAGTTTGTAAGCTGCTCTGAGACTCCAAGTGAAGGGCAGGGTATAAATCCAACCTCTTCTTCTTCTTCTTCTTCTTCTTCTTCTTCTTCCTTGGCGGTCTCCCATCCAAGTACTAACCAGGGCCGACCCTACTTCGCTTCTGAGATCTGATGAGACTGGGCTACTTGGGCCAAGTCTTCTAGATATATACAGATTATTCCTAGAAACATTGTTTGTTTGTTTTAATATCAAGGTCCTGGCAAGCAGCTGATGCTATACTCAGGCACTTTGTTCATTGCTTTTGAAGAGTCAGAAGCCAGGAACCAGAAACCTATCAGAGGTTATGGAGAAATCAATCCCAGACTTGTCAAGCAGATTTGTCTGACTGGTTCCACAGAACAATGCTGTGTGGTTTCATCAGAAACGGAGGTGGAAGACTTGTTCTTCCGAAGAAGAAAAAGAAGAAGAAGAAGAAGAAGAGTTGGTTTCTATACCCCGCTTTTCACTACTCAAAGAAGTCTCAGAGCAGCTTACAATCACCTTCCCTTCCTCTCCTCACCGCTCTTAAGCACTGCGCCAAACTGGCTCTCTGTTCTTCGAGACACATCTTTTACTTGCCTGTTTGTACTGGGATGAAAATACTCAAAAAACAAAGCCAACCATTATGACCACATGTCCTTTTTGGTGGGGTTCTGATTCCTGGCTCTGCAGTGTACTACTTCTGACTAATCAACATGGTCGACAGATTGGAACTGAGGGGTCAGCCTGGGTGGCACTATCTGCATTTGTTGTTGTTGTTCAGTCGCACAGTCGAGTCCGACTCTTCGCGACCCCATGGACCAGATCACGCCAGGCCTTCCTGTCTTCCGCCGTCCTCTGGAGTTTGCTCAATTTCATGTTCGTTGCATCGATGACACTGTCTAACCATCTCATCCTTTGCCGTCCCCGTCTTCTTTGACCTTCGATCTTTCCCAGCATCAGGGTCTTCTCCAGGGAATGCTCCCTTCTCATTGGGTGGCCAAAGTATTTGAGCTTCAGTTTCATTATCTGGCCTTCCAGGGAACAGTCAGGGTTGATTTCCTTTAGGATTGACTGATTTGATCTCCTTGCAGTCCAAGGGACTCTCAAGAGTCTTCTCCAGCACCATAGTTCAAAAGAATCTATTCTTTGGCGCTCGGCCTTCCTTATAGTCCAACTCTTTCAGCCATACATGACTACTGAGAATACCACTGCTTTGACCATGCGGACTTTTGTTGGCATATCTAGCCCATAAAGATACTTCAGTCTTTAGTGTCCAAAGAGGAAAGTGCTGCTCAGTAGCTATTTTGCACTGAAATGGTGTTGGTGGGACCTGCTGTCAAGCCACAGCTGACTTATGGTGACCCCATAGGGTTTTCAAAGCAAGAGGCGTTCAGAGGTGGTTGGCCATTGCCTGCCACCATGTCACGGCTCTGGTATTCCTTGGAGGTCTCCCATCCAGACACTAGCCAGGGATGACCCTGCTTAGTTTCTGAGATCTGATGAGATGGGGCTAGCCTGGGCTATCCCAATCAGTATTTGTACTAAAATACCAACCACACAGGGAGCTGCGGTGGCTCAAGGGGTTAAGGCGCTGAACTGCAGGTTGTGGAAGGTCGGTAGTTCAGCAGTTCGAGACCCGGGTGCCGCATGATGGAGTGAGCTCCTGCCTCTAGTTCCAGCTCCTGCCAACCTAGCAGTTCGAAAGCAAGAAATTGCAAGTAGATAAATAGGTACTGCTTCGGTGGGAAGGTAACAGCGTTCCGTGTGCCTTGGTGTCTAGTCATGCCGGCCACATGACCACGGAAACGTCTTCGGACAGCGCTGGCTCTTTGGCTTTGAAACGGAGATGAGCACCGCAACCCTAGAGTCGGACTCGACTGGCTTTTGAGCAAGGGAAACTTTACCAACCACATATTCAGGCCCATAG